AAAGTCGATACTAATTACAATTTAATTTAAATTATCACTAGGGCCCTGATTTGTATACAAATGGATATTCTTCTACAATTCACTTAGAATAATTGTGATAATAAATGTCGACGTTTCGTAATGTATAGAGTCTAAGGTTAATTTTTGCATATTTGAATGAAAATGCATATTTATTACATATTTCTTGATAGTTGAATAAATGTTGCATATTCTAAAATTCGTAGAATTTACGTCTGTAAAGATACCTACTGTCCATTGTAAATAACATGTAAATACATCGATAAGCGATCATCAATCGACATCATCGTTATCGACGGCCAACGAATGACGACAAATATTGTATATTTCATAATAAAGAATTAAAACATGAGCTCGCCGTCATTACAACACACTTACAGTGTTTAATAGATACAATAACAAAACTAGAGAAATCAAATGTTTCTTTAAGAGATAGTTTATTGCTCATGGAAAATATTAAAATTAAATTCGAAAAAGGAGGGCCAGGGATAGATTTTGCTAGATCTAAACTTAAAAAATGTGTTGTCAAAAAATCGTGGATATTCTGCATTGAAAAAAATCGATGGTATAATCAACGGTGAGGTAACTGAATGTGGTGAAGACGAGGAACTGTCAGTTGAAGATTTATCGAGTTTTAAATATGCATCAATTGTATCTTGTAACGTGGAAAGAAGTTTTTCCAAGTACAAAAGTATGCTTCGAGATAATCGTAAAAGTTTTCAATTCGAAAATTTGAAATCCATATTTATTACTTCATGCTGGTACTCTTCCAATAATAATAATTTAATATATTTAATATAAATAGTAATATTTTAATTAATTTATAATACTTTTATACTTACACAATGTCATTAAAAATGTTATTTTGCATTTTTTTTTTTTTTTTTTTAATAAACAATTTTTAAATATTACAATGTATAAAATTGTTTATTATTAATTGTATATTGTTAATTTGTAAAAAAAAAAATCATTTTGCATATTTTTTGCATATTTATGATACGAATCTGCATATTTTATAGATTTTAATTGCATAAAACTCCGGACCCTAACTATCACTATATATTGAACATATTGATATATATTGTGTAACAAAACATCGTTAAATTCTTGATTTTCTGCAGAGAAAACGACTGCGGACGTACAAACAATAATAATTATTTTTGAAACGTCTATAAAATGTTTAGTATATTCAGCCGTCACCCAATAACCGGTACCGTAACCACTACGATGCGCGAAAAAGATTAGATTATAAAATGATGTTTCTTTGTAAACTAAATAATGATGTGAAAAAAATTATTATTTATGACTATTTAAAATCAAAGAAGTTTGTTGAATCGAAAATCACGTGAAACGAATTTTTTCACTTCCCTAATTTGATAGTTATCAAATCTCAGAAACATGAAATATGTTTATATAAAAATCCGAGCCCAGATATTAATGATTTTTAATTTTTCTAAAGGTGTTGGCTATTGTCGCTGACTCGGTTTATACAGTTGTCGTATTCCACTATGGATAATGAAGTTTAGAGTCACCGGAGACAGAGAGAGAGAGAGAGAAGTAGGCTACCATTATCATGCTCGGCCGCTTCATCTCACCTGCACGTTTAATGTTACATTAACAATATATTCTTCTGGTTCTACTCGTTCTGTTTTACCGAACAGATAGCATTGTTTTGCGACTTTTACGCTATTTCTCCGACAGCGATACAGTCGTTTGTAATCCTTTGAACAGGAACGAACACGGTGTTCGGATTTTAACGTGCATCTGATGTCACCATAACTCTAAGAGACCAAAATACGTTTCTCACCTCATAGGTTCTGTTTTACAGGTGACAAAAGTTCCGCGTAGATCGTTTTCTCTTCAATTATCGTACAAAACAAAAAAAAACTTCACACAAAAAAGTACACCTCCCATATTAGGTGCATTGAATACACGATCGTTTGCGTTAATAAAACGTCACAGAACATCCAGTGTTCGTTGCGCACAAAAATGATGCGTTCCATTGTTTACATTTCGGCGGTCAACCCGAAGTCACATAGTGCACGGCAACGACAGTGAATTATGACGATGCGCATCGATCGCGCGGATTCTTTTTTCCCACGCGATAAGCTGTGTTTGGAACGTTCCGCGAACAGATACACCTGCACGGAAATCCGACGGCTATCGCGCCGGAAACGTAATTGTAAACGTTTCGGTTACGTGATCATAGGAGCAACTAGGGATGCTAGGGGGGGAATTATTCCCCCCCCCCATATATATTCCATGATATACATGGTATACCGCATACTTAACTCACAATAGTGTCACATACAAAAAAAGACACGTTGCAGTAAATCCGACTTGGCTCAGAATCTAAAATATATTAACATGGTATATAATCTACAGGTTATTTTAAGTTTTGGTAGGAGGGCTGTAGTCCCTCCCCATCAGATTTTTTACCCTAGTTGCGCCAATTTACGTGATCCGGACGTTATGTACGTGTATACAAAAAAATTTTAACAAATATGTTCAACCGAACGACCGCGGAACCGTATGTACACGAAAGACAGGTCGGATATGAAAAACACGTAGCACGACGAGATTCGTCGTCGTATGCGGCACGCGTATGTTCGACCGGTGGCGGCCAAACGTTTCGCGAAAGAATTGAGAATCGCGCGCACACGAGATCAAGGCCTATGGATGTACGGTTTTTCGTACTGCGCGCTAAATTTTAAATAATTATCTTGAGCTTTTCGTTACAATATACTATCGGAAAATTGACCGACAAATGTACCGTTCGGAACGTATATAATTGTTTTCCCGTACTCGGTATAAATCAGTTCCGCGTTATTGTTATTCATGACAAGCACCTAAAACGTTAAAAATTAACAATCGTTCACGACACCGAACCCAAAACCCACGTCCAAGTGTAAGTTGCGGTACGAGTAATTATCATTACCGATGTGTGTGGCTGATGCGGTGCAGAAAATGATCGAGTTGTGAAATGTACAGACAATATTTTTGAAAAGTATACTTCACCGGACGTTGTGTTCACTCTAAATATTTGTACACGGTTGATTGCCGGATGCAACTGTACAACTTACAGCTGTGAAAGTTTTCACTCAAAACATGTCGTTTAACGTTAGCCATCCTGGCACGTATAACTTCGTGGATGTGTTACTAGAAGTTCAATCTAAAACTTACGTAAACACGTAGGATGTACATTGTTGCGCGGCCGCGGTTGATGCGTCCTTCCAAAAAGCCATGGCCACAACTCATACTTTATTTAGCGTTCGGGGGCGGCAATTCACGAGCACCGGTACAAATTGCGAAATACTTGAAATAAAAAAATGAACCGACAAATAAAACGAGTAAACGTTTCTGTGATTCCGACGGGAACGATTTATCACACGATTTCGAATTTCGCGTCGAATTGCGCGTGATCTCAGTCGCCGCGTACGAGCGGCTTGTACGCAAACCCTCCTCCACTCCCCGCGCTATCGTCGCGTAATAAATGTTTTTAATTGTGCCCGTGGGCGACACTTAAGTCCAAATTTTGGGGTAGCAAAGTTTATTTTTAAAGGTTTAACATGATAAGTGGCTCACTTAAACGGTTAACTCTTCTTCATAAATCTTGGTATGACGTACAGTGTACACACTGTTTTACCGTCCGTGTCGGACTTGTCACAAAATATAATTATTTTGGATACGATCACAATAACAGATGGTCTATGTTCGTACGCACTTGTATGATAAACTTCGAATATATTTTTAAAATCTATACATTTTTTTTGGGTAGCAAATGATACCCTCGCTACCCCACGAAAATGTCTGGGGTGGCAAAGATACCCCTCGATACCCCTTAGTGATGCCTATGATTGCGCCGTTTCAATTCCGATGACAAGTGCGCGCGCTAACGCGTAAGATGTGTTTACACCGCGCGAACAATGATTTATACGACGCCTATCCATTTTAATCGACCGACCGACCGGACGTCTCGCGCGCGTGTAAACTGGTGCAGAGTGTAACGGCGGTCGCCCCCCCCCCCCCCCGAGCATGATACAATATCGTAGGAAAGAAGAAATCGGCAGCGATTCATAATTGTGTATGTATGTACATCGTAATCGCTTACGTAATGTGTATACAGCTATTACACGTGCACCGCGGTGGCAATTAACGTTTTAACGTTTGCGCGCGGAATGTAACAGGCGCGCGCGTAGCAACGAAAGAAACACGGTGACGTTTATAAAAAAACAAACATGTATTATAAAAAAAAAAAAAAAAAATTTAAAAATGTATACAAATACGCGTAAGATAAAATAAGTTTGTTTTACAAGATAAATATACTACTACGTCTTCTATACACTTAATTCGATAATAATAATAATAATAATAACATTAAATATACCTACGTGAAGTTATACACGAGGTAAAGATCAAAAAAATATTGCACTTCGTTACAAAGACTAAAATAATACGTATAAACTAAATCTATGGTACACATAAAAATATTTGGTTGCACAAAGGTGTATACAATAATAATAATAATAATACGTTACGCATGTATGTATATATATATATATATATATATATAGTGTGCGAGTTGTCCATCGAACGTATAAAACGTTATAGTTATTATGGACGAAATTTATTTTTATTTTTTTTTTGATTCGATTACTTATTGACGTTAAGGATTTCACAAATCAAACCGTTCGTGGGAAAACGTGATGGAAACGTGAAGTAATGCGAAGACGCACTAACTCGACGCGCGTATAGAAAGCCGAATACATAATGTATGGATAGGTGATGATTACGTACGGTACACAAACGTGCGGTTTTTCTCCCGAAAACTGGAATATTTTACCGGACGGGTAATAATATAATCTCATAAACAAGTTTCCGTCTATTGCGATAGATAATAATAATAATAATAATGCGTAACCTCTAACGAGAGATTGTGGGTAAAACGCCGGCGTGTTTCGACGACGACGAAAACAGATCTGTTGAAAATTTACGGGGTTGTTAATTTTATTTAATTTTTTTCGAACGGAGAGAAAGACTGAAAAAAAAAAACAACGAATCCGCATTACGCGTAATAGTTGTAGTCGGCGTACAAGGGTTGTCCGTTATTGTCGGGTTCGTATTTGAGCAAAGCGATAGGCGTGGGCGATGCGGACGGGGCGGCGGTGGCTTCAGTGGTCGTGGAGTTGTCGGCCGGGAACAGGACAGGACCGGCTTTGGTCATGTCGGGCGTCGGTGACGGCGCGGACGGCGCGGACGGGGACGGTGACGGGGACAGCGACTCGGCGTCCTGCGGGTAGTAGAAGTACTCGGGCGCGGCTTCGGCCTTCGCTTCGGCGTTGTAGTCGGAAGACACCGGGTAGTACTCGGGCCTCGCGACCGCGTAGTACTTGGGCGTGGCCGTGGCCACGACGGAATCGAGCCCGCCGTCGTTGGCCGGGTACGCCATGTAGTTGACGGCGGCCGCGGTGGCCGACGGCGAGGACTTGGCGTAGAAGTTGCGGTACAGCAGCGGCGGGTACTTGGACGGCGATGGCGATTGCACGAGCGGCCTGTACTCGGGCACGGGCACGGCGGACGTGGACACCTCGGCGGCGTACGGCTGCCTGTTGTACGCCTCGGCCAGCTGCTTGTACGCCGCGGCCTGTTGGTGCAGGTGCAGCACATGGTTGCGCTTCGGCGACGGCGACGGCGTCTCGTACGGCTGATGGGCGGCCGGGGCTGGGTGCACGTTCTTGCCCGTCTTGGACACGACCGCGTTGAACCCGTTGCGATCGTCCGCCGTGTAGTCCACCGTCCGTATGGAACCGTCCGGCTCCATAAGGCTGTACGATCCTTTGACCACGTCGCCCTCCCGGTGTTCCCATTGGCTCTTCAGGTCGCCCGTGTGCAAGTCCTTCACGCCGTAATTGAAATGATAGTTGGGCTCGCTCTGCGCAAAAAACGAAAACCGAAAAGGTTAAACGTGCGCGAACTATGACGACACCGCGGTGACCGATTTTCGTAAACCGTTCGTCCTCGACGCACCGCATTGTCCGTGTGCATATCTAAGGAAATCGTCTAAGGATTTCGACGGGATGTCCGGCGGGCAGTTAAACGCCCTTATCATCACGTCGCCCACCATCGCCGGTTGTGCGTCGGGGTAAGCGCGTAGCGAGTAGGTAACGTACACGGGTTATCAGAAAGGAACCCGGTCCATAAACAAATTTATCGGATTCGTCCGGCTCGACAGTCGCTGGCGCAAGACATTTTTCGAAACGAGCTGCGGGCTGCAGCGCTCGTGTCCCGCAAACGGTATGCTATGGGAAACAACGGAATCGATCGTACGAGAAACATCGTGGTACGCAGTAATAATAGTGGTACGGATTCGGTTCGATTTCTCCACCGAACGAACGGCGGCTAGGTGACCCTGTTGGTTTTTACGCGAAGGAGATCGCTACTCGATCGGATCTACAACTGCAGCAGTCAGAGTTCGTGTGTTCGGAATTACAAAAACGTAATAATAATAATAATAATAATAATAATAATAATGTAACACACGGCGATACGAAAAAATAAAAACAATAGGGCGCGACCGACCATCGCAGTCCTGCTGCAGTAAGTCGACGCGGCCGGTATTTGTGTGTGTGTGTGTGTGTGTGTGTGTGTGTGTGTGCGCGCGCGCGCGTGTGCTTGTGTGTGCGCGTGCGTGCGTGCGAAACAATAAAACGATAGTAAATGTGATTTATATAAATTATGTTACACTTACGTAATATTCGATAGGATCGTGAACGGATTGACCCGCACGTACGGGTACGGCGGCTAATGCTGCGACCAACAACAACGCCGGCAGATACGGTACGATGGCCAACGACGGCTTCATGATGGACTGTGCAGCGTGTGCGGCTAAGACGAAACCTGTAAAACGCACGCGTGCAACGGCACCGTTTACATGAGAAAACAAAAACGAAAAAAAACGGTAATCAAATCGTAAGATAAAACGCGATGTTATTAGTCATTCACGGTCCGTTTGTCGAGCCGCTGACCGCCCGACCGCCGAGTGCGACGCGAGGGCCATAGTAACGATAACGCACTGGTCCGCGTAAACGCACGTGATACACGTTACGACGGTGCACGTCGCCGTACGCGTTCGTCGCACGGTCGCGTCGTCCGATCGGACGAGAATATCGTTTCGGTCGTCGTTCCGTACGAGCGCGCGAGCTCGTCACCGGCCCGACGAGCGAAACAGTGCGATCCCGTCGCTAGGCGCAGCGCTACACGGTTTGCCGTACCGTTATGCCATCGGCGTTCGAACCGTCGCGGTCTATAAAGGCGACACGGCGGACCGTCGGGTATCGAAAAACAATTTTACTAGACGCGCGCTAACGCGCGTGCGCGCAACACGGGTGTACACGCGACGGCGAAAAATTACAAAACGTTACGTCACCCGTCCGGGTGAGAGATGATCGCGGTACGACGGAGAACTGGAGACGTTTTTCACCGGGACGATGAATAGGTACGTTCGTAATAGCGGTCGGCGGACGCGAACAAACGATCATTCGTCGCGCTCGGCCGTGACGGACGTCTCGATACGTTCCCCCGACCGGGGAAGAAAACGTGTGTAACGCGGACGCCGCGGCGGCGTGTCGGACCGAACGCAATCGTCGCGTCCCGCGGGTCCGTTTACGTACATCGTCCGATTGGGGACGGACGTCCGTTAACATACGCGCCGCCCGACGTCCGGAACGGTTTCGTACACCGTGCGCGCGGTGAAAGCGCTACTCGTCGCGGGGAACGCATTTGTACGACGGGAGCGGCGAGAAAAATCCGACGTCGTCGCGCGTCCGAACGGGCCCGGATCGGTTCGATCGCGTACGTGCACTACGGTCTTAACGTGCTTAACGTGTGTGCACTACGGTTTAGAAAACAAAAATCGAACGATAAGCCAACCACTAGGAAACATGAGTGTTATCGAATTTTTAAAAAATTCAACGCATACATATATATATATACGTATTATGAATGTAATATATTTATTTTTCTAAGACGGAGACTAAATTTTCATTTAAAGCAGTAACATCAAGCGTGCAGTCCGAAATCGTACAAATAATAGGGCCTGGTAATACGTGCACTGCGTTCACGCGCCCGTGGTCCGCGGAAGTTCTCTCGGACGATCAACCGTTCTCGTCCGAATCGAGAATCTCGATTTCGCGAGCGAGCGACGAGGATATGATATACGATCCGTACGGGTCGCAGTCGTTTGTCTTTTGTACCGGACATGATACCCACCGGTCGGAAACCTAAAAACGTTTTCGGTGCACAAGATGTTTACGAGCAATGTTATCGAGGATGGACGAGAAAGATGAACGATTTTTTTTCCCCTTACAGTTATTATTATATTTCTACCCCGTTACGCGTTGAAGTGTCACGTCGTTTGTCACGCGGTAACGCGTTTTTATGGAAAACTATTGATATTGATCGCTGCATTTACTTATGTATGCGATGTTTTATTCGATAAGCTGATAAATTATGTTATTCGTTGAAAACAAACTTTGCACCTTGGTGAGTGGTAAGTTTACATTTCGAATAAAATCGTGTTCGAAAATAATCGATATAGCGTTGAATCAATATATGTATGATTATAATATATAACAATATTATTCAATGTGTTTTTTATGCCTGACGATGATCTTTTAGATTAAAACCTGTCGTCAATTCAATATTTGCACTTACAATAATACTCCAGACGAATACAAAATTACTAATTTTTAATTATCTATTTATACATTTTAAATTACTTTTTAATATTTTAAGAGTACTCTAGCCACAAAAAATTTTTATTTTTGTATATTATTTTACAATTTTTTTTTCAAATAATAATAAAACAACAAAATTAATTAATTCTGATAGTAGTTACCGATTATTCGATTTATTTAATTTGAAAAAACCTACTGAAAACTTAAAAATTTATAATTTTTTAACATCTTTTAAAAAAAAATTAAAAAAATACAATAAAATATACTCGTACTACGAATTGGAAGTACTAGTAAATGCATATATTTTCGTTTAACTTCTATACTTTTTATTTCTAAAAATAATCTGGTTTCTATTATACGAATTGAATTTGGATATAGATCTACTCGTATACTTGACCAATTTTAATGTACAACTCCAACTTAATATTTATTATTACTGTAACTTAATAACGGATAAAAACTAATATTTAATATTTATTTGATTAATATATTAATAATAATTAATCCTATTTTGAAATAATTTTACAGCTTGGCTGTATCTATAATATTTGTATTATTTTGTACCTATGTGCTATTGTTCTAACGTAAATATACAAATACTGTATTAAATTGAGGTTTCTTTTGCGAACAATTATATTTTGGTTTTTTGAAAGATAGGCGATATTAGACATAGCATAATTATGTCATTGCATTAAAAATTATAGAAAATGATATTTAGAACAATTTTTTAACCTAAAACATGTTAAATTACATATTATATTTACATTGATATGAATTGAATATGATACATTGATGTGTTATCAAAAATAAATTTATAGATTAATTTAGTGATTATTAAAAATATTTATTTATAACTGTATAATACTTTTTAATTTTTTTAAACAATAGTACTTATTGTAAGCTTGTATTGGAAACAATATATTCTTACCTGAACTAGTTGAATGAAAAAAAATGTATAAAACGTATTAAATACGAAACTGCACACAGATTTGAGTATCTTGTAATGAATACGAAAACACACTGAACGCCGAATCGGTTGCACTGGACGTTTTAAAATGCTCTAGACCAACGAGCTGGACTTGATATACTTCCGATTTCACTATAGTTTCTTCCCATCCCTCTCTTATTTGTACTTCTCTTTCTTTCGCTCTCTTGTTCTCGTTCTATTTCTCTCTCTCTCTCTCTCTCTCTCTCTCTCTCTCTCTCTCCTTGCTCTGTATATCTATTAATTTTGCTCAAATACGTAGAAATGACTTTAGTTTTATTTTCTCGTAGTTCATTTTGTGCATTCCCCACATATACACATTTATACACACACGCGCGAGCACACATACACACACACACACATCCATCCAACACGATAGTGTTTACACACATAACTGTAACTATGCGAACACGAATGTTATACACACCTATTATAGGTACCACGTCAATTCCCGCGCCAATTGTTTCAACTTTAGAATGTGATAGATAAACAATAAATTTATAATGAGGTGAAGTAATTTTTATTCATAAAAAAAAAAAAATATATAAGTTCTATTGGACATAAGATATAATCATATTTTAATTGCTATGCAGATTTACAAAGGATTATTACAAAAAATAGGTGTTCATATTTGTTCTGTAACTTATAAGTATATAAGTGATATTGCATAATATTATAATAACACCAATAACTAATAATTATTGGCGTCAATAAATTATTACATTATATCAATCTATGATTGTAAATAATATATTTACCTATAATTATATTTTTTAGGAAATTATACATAAAATTATTAACTTTTTATAATTTTAATTGATTACATTTAGATTAAACAATTTATAGTATTACCTCAAACATCGATTTAAGGATAAATATCAACCACAAGTATCTCTTATCTCACGAATGATTATAATACAATTTAATTAATTAAATTATAATCAAATACAATAACCTTTATTTATATAATATTAATGACTCTATTTATATATAATAAAATCTGGATATTTTTATTATAGCTTAATGCAGGTTTGCTAAATCAAAATCAATATAATAATAACAATAAGCCAAAAAAAATAAAAATAAGTCATTAAGCGTAAATTACTTTATGTTGCAGAATTATTTTGTTCTTCGTGTTGCACACCTAAAAAAAAAAACAAAATCAACATAAAAGTTTTATTAAATACGATTTGTACACTATACCAATTTTACGAACAACTTCGATCAAGACAAAATATTTAGGTACATATCATAATAAAGTCAATAAAATATTTTTGTGGGACTATTAACGTTGATGAATGCGGTTTTCGTTTCCAATGTTTTTTTTAATCGGTCAAGCGAATCGAGATTTGATAAGAAAATATTTTTCGCGTAAAATACTACACATACATAATTAGTTATTGTACCCGGAGGTAACAGTTATATACCTATGTGACTATATGTATAATATTGTTCACAAGCAAATTTCGGATTATAACGTACGATAAGCAACGGTTTGAAACATTTCTTATGCAAACTTATTATTTTATTACCGCATAAAGTATGCATTTTAACTTCCTTCTGATTGACTTATGATTATTAAGTTGTACAAAATAGTAATAAAACTTGTATCAGTCACGAAAATATATTATTTATGAGCAGCGGCAATATAGGCACACTACACCTAAACGTTTCTTTACTGTTGTTGTTATGTAGTTTTATATATGGAGAAAATTGTGCCAATATATAAAAAGACCGAGACTTCTTGGTCGGAGAGACTCCACGCTCGAGTGAGATATAATGACGGGTGAATGGTATAGATATACTGATCATTTAAACTTGAAACCAATACGTCAGTGTTCTTGAAAAAAACAATTTTGAATAAGAGAGGTTGGGTGGATCAAATTATAATTTGAAGATGGTTAATGTGGTAAAAAAAAAAACGCTATTCTTTGTAAGGTTGATTGTGCTTATAAATTTCTGATTTTTACAATAATAAAAATAAGGCGTTTACGATTTACATCAATTTCAAATACAGAAACAGCACAAATTTCATAAAAAATATTTCGAAACTATAAAATATTTTTAACTAATATCGTTTAACGGAAATTCGTTAAAATATTGGATTTCGACAACATTTCATTATAGTATGCTTATAAATAATTTCTGTGAATTTCCAGTTATTTTTTTTTACCATAAAAATCTTGTACATCATTTTCAGTCTTCAGCATAAAAGTTGAAAACTCTATGACAGGTTTTCTACAAAAATTTAGTGGACTTTCATGATTTTTATCGTTTTATCAAAATATAATACTTAAACGATTTTAATTTTTTTTTTTTTTATCTGTTATACATTTTTATTACATACTCGTATAGGAATTTTATAATAAATTTTTCAATAATACCAGTCATAGGAAACGGCGGTATATGTATTCAGAGAAAATTTCATAACGTTTCGATGTTGATTTTTTTTTGAGTTACGAAGAAAACAAAAATTCCATTTTGTAAAAAAACCGCTGTGCCGTACATTTCGTCATATTTTTATAACTTTTTGTCAGTTATTTGCAATAATTAAGAAAACTATTGTGAAATTCGTAAAATAACTACCTACTATCAAAGTTGTAACAAACCAACATTTTCTATCAGAAACCTCTTAGGGTTATGATGATTGGAACAGTCCTGGTCATAATCGTATACACAAACACACAAAAATAAACACATATCGTGGTAAAACCTATACATTTCTCGTTTCACTCAGAATCTACAATATATTACACACTTATAACTGCAATACCTACTCACAATATACATTGCACCATAAACGGATAATAGTAACACGTACTACTGTATTCGGATTACGCTTTTAAATTATTTATTTCATATAAAAAAAAAATTTTTTTTAATGCCCTGATCGAATTTTTTTAACACTCGTCATTGAATGTTGATAAAATTAAAAGAATCTCGCTAACCAATTTCATCGTTTGAAATTTACAAATTTAATTATTATCGAATTTGATTATAATTATTTGTGATATGCAATATGTACATTTAATGTTCTATCAACTAATGACTTTCAAACATTTGGAATAATTCTTTATAGAACTCATGAAAATATTATTATGTATTCCAATGTTCCATTCTCGAATCCCGTTCAAAACTAACACCTATCAAAACACTATAATTTAGATATCTCTCGCTTGCACAATGTTTTTTTTTTTTTTTTTTTTGACGTTTGTGTAAACTATTTTACATTGAGCCTAGAGTGTATACATTCGAAAATATTTTGGCGTCTGTATGATATTAAAAAATATATAATATTATATATTATACAACTTATGAACTCGTCATAAACGTGCCTAATTAAAACTATATAATAAGTAGCTATGAAGACGGATAACATGATATTATGACAGTGAATAACATTGTTTCGAGAAGTTTATACTCAAATTTTTTTCACACACACGCACGCACGCGCGTCCTAGTGAAAGTCCGAAGTAAAAATGATATTCTTAATTTTTCCCTCATTTGTGCATATACATTTTGATGTGCGTATATAATATGTTTGTGCGCAGTAAAAGTATTGTTTGCTCGCACGCGTAAGAGGTTTTTACTTTTATCAACTAAGTACTAAGAATCAGATTTATTTTTTTCAACACACCTATGATTGTTGTAAATGAATCAACTTGTTTTGTCTCAATCGTAATGTTTTACGATTTAACCGGTTGTGTTCAACGATATACGTATAAAATAAAGACGATTTTCAATTCATTAGACCAGCTTGCGTAATTCGCGAAATTTAATTATATTTTTAAACATACTAAACATCATGAATGTTCAACGTCTTTATAATATACAAATCACTATATAAATTATTATAATTGTGTGACTTGGTCATCGATACACAACGACAGTCAATATTAATATATTATTTAAACGCACATTATATGATGGCCGAAGGGGATCGAAACTTTCTTTGGCATTCGTACATAAATGATAAATTTCCAATGTCTATATTAATAATATCTGTTTATTATGTATTTTAAATAGGCAGTTATATAGGTATTATTTGTTAATGGGTAACATACCTATTATATGACTTAAGACATACCTAGATTAAATCCAATAAAATATAATCTATACTTTAAAAAAACATAAAATCAATTTTTAACAAGTAACATTGAATTTCTCCATTTTTCGTTCTACACATTACACTTAATCTTATTAATTTTTTTATTTTTATTTAAAATGGTATAGAATATGATTTCGGGTCTTCATTTAAGTAAATATGTACAAATAATCAAAGTTTGTATGAGCTAAGTAAAACATAAGCATTTTAGTTGGTATCTTCGACTACTTCATTATATCTAAGCTTTAATCACTAATAAAAATATTAATTCAAAGTTCATTATACAGGTTTTAATTTATTAATAATTTTTAGAAGATGAATTTAAAATAATTTTTCTGGATTATAATTATGATTTTTATAAAAATGTTCTATTTAGTTGTTTAGTAGCATAACAACTTCTTACTAAATAAAAATATTTTTTTCTAAAACGCAAATTGTTTGAATAAATTAGTTTTCACTTTAAATTTAACGCAAATTTTTTGAATAAATTAATTTTAACTTTAAATCATTTAAAAAATTAGCTTGCCTGTATATTAAATAGTAGATTATATTTCTGTTGGTTAAAACTCGACTGGTTCAGTTGTAATTACTAATATGAATACTAATAAAAAACCAACAATAAAAATATTATTGTACATTAAACGAGTATTAGTTTAGACTTTTTCCCCGACCACCTGTTATGTATTTGCATAAACTATAGTGTAATAATCACAAACGCACAATCGCGTTTCTCTAAATTATTGACTGAAAACATGAACGTGCGTTTAATTCTTTGAATTTCTCGTGAGTCGCGGTGAACATTTTATCGTCAAAATCTGTTAATTTGTTTTTTTATTTGTAAACATAACGCGTCCACTCATTATTAGTTATTCATTACTTTTTACTGTTAAACACCTATGATTATAAAAATATGTAATATACTCATTAGAGCGCCATAAAATTACCTGAAAATATACGCCACTAATCGTTCAATGATTCAATAA